ACACATAACTCGATCGAAGAAAAATTAAATCACTATTGCTTGCTCTGAAAATTAAGTTTCATTCATTCTAAATTTTACTATCCCAAAATTCTGAAGTCCGAGGAGGAAGTTTTAAGAAGGTTCAAGAAAACAACTTTTGGTCCTTCTAACCCTGTTCTAGATTCTTTTAAAATAAACGAACATTTCTACATATAACTAATGATGAGTAAATAGAGAAAAAGTTCAAGAAGTAATATTTGTCGATTAGGGAAAGGACAATTGGCACCTTGTTGGAGATAGGACCTTGAGCAAGGTAAGGTTTCTCATTGCGTAAGCTGTGGAAACCGTAAGCAACTTGGGCGTCCATTCCTGCATCCGCGTTGCATATTAACATTTTTTTTCAAGGACAATAAAAATGCACGTAGCCCAAGAACGAACAAAATTATAACATTCAGACCTATGCTGAAATAATTATAGAAAACTCCTTGATAGCAGGAAACCTTCTCCGGCAATTCTCCTTCAACTTCCAGTTCCTGCCAGAATGGTGTGATAAATTTTAATTACAAAACCTCGTTGTTAAGAATCGGGTTGAACATACTAAATGTCGAACCTCGTCAAGTGGAACTGCTTCTGTTTCCTTGAGGGAATAGGGTATCTCCAACTCCTCGCCAGCTGGCGTTGATATCAAAAGATGCCAACTGCGCATTATTAAAGGTGTTGTTCGGTAAACCAGACTAGGCATTTCATGTAAAAATAGAAATACGATGACTATCTAGACAAGACGTTTTCATGTCAAATGAAATGTTCTCCAGTTACAGTTCTGATCGATATATATATATATATATATATATACACACACACACTTATATATATATATATATAACAAATAACTTTGCTACCAAAGTTACCTATCCAGGAGAGTAGTAGGGCCACGTGCAACTTTGTCGAGAGTTCTTTTAATGGCTGATTTCCAATTGAAAGGGAACGAACCTCCCTGTAAAAAAAACATTTAGGAGAGTAAATAAATAAAGGGCTAAAAACCGAGCGGAAATAAAAAAGTTGATGGAGATGAAAAAATTACCCAACCAAAACTCCGGGACAAATCGTTTCCAGTACCAAGTGGAATAATTCCAGTCGGTGGAACTGGAAGCCTGTCCTGTCTGTTAAGCTCTCCGAGACAACCTAGGACCCAACCAACTGTACCATCACCTCCTGCCACCTGTCATACACTAGCCTCGTTCAACGTTTCCACGCAAATTATACATAAAGTGGGATTGTGAAGGTGGTTGTAATAGATAGGAATTTTACCACGACTCGAAGTTTTTCACGAGTCTCTTTCGCACAGGTGTCTCCAAGACTAGCAAACTTTTCCAGGCAACTCAATCCGTATTGAACAAATTCGTGAGGCTTCACAGCTAACAGATCGAAAACCTGGCAATTTAAACAGGAAAAGAGGACGACAATTTGTAACACAAGTTTTCTTATAAACAAATAATGCATTTATATTCGTTGTTCCGAGTACGAAGGCAAACAATCCGACTTCTTACCAATTACTACAACAATGTTAACAATATAAAATCTTCGTATAATTAAAACCCACAAAAGAAAAATCATTAGTCCTTTATTGGGGAAATTGGAATTTACGATAGAAGTTCGAACTTAGTTCTTCGTTAATCGGGAGAAAAAAAGAGACTGGCATTTGCTTATCATTTTACAATAGTTCAGAATACAAGTAATTAGTAATGGAGAAAGATTTCAAATAAATTAAGAGGAATTAAACTGAAAGAGTTCACATTTCTGTACCATGTTGTTTCCCCTGTTCAGACAACATAAAAAAAACAAAAACCACATTTCCGACACGTGAAAAACACAGTGATGCGCATCAATGGCATAAGGAATATATATATATAATATATATATGTTTCTGTAGTTTGAAATACCTGTTCTTCGCCCATGAGGTCCTGGAGGCGGGCCTTGAGTTCTGGGCCGTGGCGGCCACCGCTCTTGGAATTGATGAAAACAATCAACGGAAACTCAGGCGGCTCGGCCGGCTCGGCTCCTTGGGCGTGAGCCGCCTCGTAGAACTGAGCCACGGCGGCGGCGTCGACGTCCTGGGCACGGATCGCCTCCCTCATGGCGAGCCTGATATACTCCGGGAAGGTGATCTTCTTCTTCAGATCCTCCCTCGGGATTCGCACGCCGGAAAGCGTGCACCCGCGTATCGAATCGATCACTGACGATCGCCCCGACGCGGCGGCGGCCCTGGTCGGCGTGCCCGGGGAGTCCATCCGTGAAGTAAATAATTCACGATTGAGCCCTCCTTCGGAGATTGGGGGAAAGTGGATTTCCGGCAGCGGCGGCGGTGGTGGTGGTGGCGGCGACGGAGACCGGAGAACAAGTTTCGTGCGGTGAAGTACATACGTTGTTGTGGTTGCGTTTTGGTTGGGGTGGGGGTTTTTCGCGTGCTTTTAAAATTTAAGAATTCCTTTTTTGGGGTTTGGGATTGGGTATATTTACGAAATGCTTGCGCGTGATCAACTGTTTAACCGGTCGATTCTATTTTCTCTTTATTTTAATTTTCCCCCTTTTCTTTTCTTCTTAATTAATAAATAATAATATTTATTTATTTTGTGCACTTCTTTTTCTACTTTTTAATACTCTACATTATATATTACTAGATTTTTTTTTTTTTTTTTTGCAATGCACGGGACGGTATTTTAAAAATGAAAGAAAATAATCAATTTAATACAAAATAAAAAAAAATATAATACTCTTAACATAGTAAAATTAAATAAAGTAGTATTATTCATATTTTATATAACATTTGTTTTTTTTACGTAGTAAGAATTATAATCCAAACAAATAAGTTAAGATTGTACAAATCGAATTTCTATCTTTATCTCTTAAGATTGAGCTATTGACGAAAAATAGGAAACTGAAGTTGGTAGAATTCTTCACGGTTGAGTGTCAATTTTGATAATTGTTGAAAAATATATTTAAAAAATTAGTACATAAAATTAATAATTACAAAAATACCATTAGGGTTTCTTAGGGTTGCCCTAGCGTTTCTTTCTTTTATGTATAAGATTTTTTGAATAAAATATCAATGTATATCATTATTACAGTTTGGGTAAATTACAATCAACCCCTAAGGTAAGATCTATTTACAAAAAAAATTCCTTATTTTTTTATAACTACATTAACCCCCTCGTAATTTGTAGATTTCTTACATTAACATCCTTTTGTAGGGGGAGGATGTAAGAAATTTATAAATTATGGGGGCTAAATGTAATTTATAAAAAAATAAGGGGTTTTTCGTAATTAAACTTTATGTAAGGGAGGGAGGTGATTGTAATTTACATATTAAAGTTTAGTGGTCGAATTTATGATGTTGTATCTTTAATTTCAAATAATATTATATCATTTTATTTATTAAAATAAATAAATCCTCTGCTGTAATGTAATCTGGCAGGTCTGTTTGTTTGTTTGTTTGTATACGACACCGTTGTACAGACTACAGAGATTCCTTTGACATAATTACAAGAAAGCCCTCTCTTTTTCCCTGATATTCTTTGCCTTTTCTTTATAATTTTTTTGTAATAAGTTTATTATAAATTTAAAGAAAATAATTTTATTCAGGTTTTCAGGATAGATGGACCCCACTGGGAAAGGAATAAGACAACGCATGTCAATTGTCACATGCCCTGGATCCTGTCTTTTTATACGTGGCTCCATTATTTAATTTCAAAAATATTAATACATGTTAAGCACAAAAAAATAATATTAATTAACTATATATTCATGTTGGTTAGTTCTTGATTAAACACTAAAAAAAGAAATGGAAATGCTAGTGCTAGTAGCCAAATAACTATATACTAGTATTATTGACTTATTGAGATTTTTCTTTTTTTAGGCTAACGAAAGAATTTGTAGCTAATTATATAGATATATTGGATAAATCTACTCTATTGTATAATAATTCGCAAATCAGCCAACAAACTCGACTTAGCGATAGTTGACAAAAGAATTTGAAATTGAATTAATTAATACAAATTCACTTGCTCTAACCACTAAGACATCCTTGCGGAACGCAGTTGAAATCTTATGAGTTGAGTTGATAGACTCAAACTCAATTTAGGTAAATCAAATGGCACATATGGGAATATATATTTATGTATTGAGAATATACAATTTACATTACAAAAGTCAAACCATGCTTATATATGTGTTGGATGAAAAGTATTTCATTTTTTTTATTAAATAAAGCTACTTATTGTATTTTTCAAATTTATTAATTAATTTAGAGGTCAAGTGAAATTTCAAGAAGAAATAAAGCCATTTATTGTAATCAAGTAAATAAATTTTATTTTACAACACATTTTTTTTCATTTATGACAAAAATTAGGATTTTTTTAAAACCGTGGGCCAAACAAAGCCCATTGTGAATCTCAAAATTAGTAAGTTGGGCTAGCCCAAAATTTCCAAAATTCAAAACACAACACCAAAATTACATGAAAACTATTCAATAACTTTGGTTTTAAATTGGTCCCCCCCCCCCCCCCCCCCCCCCCTAAAAAAGTGGTGCCAAAAAAAATTTAAAATCCGTTTAATGTAAAACAGAGTCAAAACCATTTAACCGTAACTTGTGAAACTGACAGACGGAAGGGAAACTTTCTCGACAAGAACATCGGCATTGGAATCAATTCTATACGAAACGTCGAGACCTTCCAGAAAAAGGTGGTAAAGAACACTGCTAGTTGGAGAAGAATCACCGCCTCCATTTTCAATAGCTTCTTCTTCTTCTTCTTCTTCTTGACAATTTTCTGCCGTTAAAGCATCTTCGGTTAAATTTGCAGATCCAGTATAACCTATGGGTTGATGGGGTCGGTTTCGTTGAGCCAATGATCTAATATCCCACGAGAGCACCTGCTTTATCAAGTCTCGATATTCTTCTGGTGAAGCATAAAGTGACTTCTCTCCCTTAAATAAATAAAAAAACGTGTTTATCGTCGAGTAAAAAAGAAACTAAGAAATGTGAAATGCGAGAAGAAAAAATTGCATGACAAAGACTTACGACCAATAACCAGCAATCTGCAAGACTGGATGGGAAGTCGTCCGAGAAGTTAACAGAAGCTACACCTAGCAAATTTTCGTCCACCTGTTCGAGAAATTTGGTTGTGAATTTTTAAATGAAAATCGAATAGATTTTTTATACTTCTTTTTTTTTATAAATTGTGATTTGCGAAAAATAAACTACCTTTAACCAGTCGGGAGTTTTTGCTCCTTGAACGCTGTCGCAGTATGGCAAATAAGGTTTGATATCTAGGACAGGCTGTAATAGAATTTCAAGTACTAGGTTGTGTTACATATGCTGTCAAACGTAAATCTTAAGTATAAATCAGTTACAAAATTTAAAAGTGAAATGATTAAAATCTTACCGATCCATCGACCAGATCAACACCAGAGAGATGCACCGTACGCCCATGTACAGCCTCCACCTGAAAAATTGAATCTTTAGTACTTTAGTTTCCTAAAACTGATCGAAATAGTGTTTTCTTGTAACAAAATACGTAAATTTGGCAAGTGAGCCACTACGTATAAATTATCTATAAGTTGTTTTCGAAATGTTGAATATTTCCTCCTACATCGTGTTGAACGAATTGCTTTCGTTTATAAACTAATTACGGTCAACTGGTTGGGCTATAATTAGCTAGCTGCAAATCGTACCTTTGCAACAGTCAATCCAATAGGACATGCACGATGGGGAGATCGTGTAGCAAAAACCCCGACTTTTTCGCCTTCGAGTCTTGGTACCCTTACCTATTCAACCATTGTGTTACGAAAATAAATAAATAAATACATTAACAAAAAACGACCAATTTCGGATCCTGACAGCACAGACCTTTGCCTTGAATGTTGAATGAGATGGGCGCTTTCGTAACTTATCAAGATTCGTATTAAGATGAAAAACGTAGAGTATCCAACAGTGAGAATACCCTTCAAGCCCCTCGAGAGATGCTTGAGGTATACGGGTCGAATCGAATACCAAAGTTGCCCTTGCAAGAGGTACAAGTAAAGGCTGTCTTGGAGTTCCGTTACTGCATCCAATATATATATTTTCAAATAAATATTGATATGAATTCGTCATCAATTTTCATACATTTTGCCTAATGTTCGACTTGAATAACAAATACCGTGTGGAAAAGCACGAGTGGACTATTGCAATGGGTGCCATTGGATATGATATAGATTCAAGCTTTTCGGCGTTAGATCCGCTCAATGGTTCCCTCAAAGCCTGACAAAAATACATCCAAATATATTTTTTCAAAACGTACGAAATTTGGTACTATTGTATAAATATGGATCGACGAACTTCCAGAACAGATGAAAGTCGGTACTATTGTATAAATATGGATCGACGAACTTTCAAAACGTATGAAAGTCTCGGTACTATAAATATGGATCAACGAACATTTTGCTAAACGGAACTACACGATTATTAGGGCAACATTTTGAATTCCAAAAATGCATTAATACTATCTCGATTCCAACAATGTAAACAGGGAATTTAGCAATGTATGACAAACATTTTGATTTCTTTTCTCAGCATAAATAAAATAAATTTTAAAAAAAAAGGGGGAAAAAGGAACAACCTTTTGAGCCCTAATTCGCCCTTGTCTTTCGGCGGCGCACTTTTTTAGGGCATTCTTTAAGGAGGTTTCAAGCTGCTGTATTTTCTTAGCCGCTTCCTCAGTTGATAAATTCGACTTCGATTTCCGAAAGTAAACTGAAAACACAGCAAATACGAAACATAGTTCAGACAATCGATACTGATTATTACCGTGTGTTAAATCGAAAATTACCGCGTGTATTATTGGGAACTTACGAGAGATGGCGGCGGAAGCAGAGAGCGAAGCCACTGCCAAAGCGGCGGCGAGCGCCAGCCACCCTGATTTGGGGCCGCCCATCAATTCTTCACTCCCTCTGTGGAGGCAGAAAACTATTCAATATTTAAATATGTATTTATATTTATACCCCTTTTATTGTAAAAGGCCAAATGTCCGAAATTTCAATTTAGGCCCCAAGCTTTGGGCTTAATAGATTCTAGGCCCCATCATTTGGGCTTAATAGATTTAGGCCCCATAATTTTGGGCTTGGAAGTTAGACCCAAATAACAAGATTCAAAATTGCAATTTGCAAGTTCATTTTAACTATCTAAATCCTAGTTACCTAAAATAACCTTAATGTATGTCCAAATTAATCATAACTCAATCCCATGATCTTACTATGTGTTCGAACAATTAAATGATTCGAGCTCGAATGTTCTGTGAACACTTTCTAAGTCGAATTTATCGTACATTGCTTGTATTTATTGCGATTTACATATGTTGTGTGATTTGCAAGCTATTGAATTAGAATGGGAGTTTACATAGTCATATATTTGTTCACTCCGAACTTCTTCTTAGTTAAAAAAAAGAAAAAAGAAAATTAATACAATCAAATAAAGTTGAGACTTTTGTCAAACTAGAAGTAGCATTTAAATTTTCATTTGTACTTCAAAGAAGCCATAAATCTCATCGACCCACAAACATTGACTAAAAAGTCAACCGTTGAGTATTTCCATCGCATTCATTAATCATTAGGCAGGCACTATTATACTTTTTGCAATTAATGACACGCGTTTGACGAAGATAAATTCAAATTACGAAAAAAAATCTCTTATTTAGTAGGTAAATTTGACACTGTAAATTGAATGTGTAAGACAATAACCAATTGAGAAAAAATGATTGTAATTTGTAATCATCCAAAAATAAGGGTTTGTTTCGTAATATGAGCATACTTCAGAAGTGTCGGTAATTTTCCCATACATAAATTTAGGTCGGTGGGTGGTGGATCTACATGAATGAATAATGACGATGAATGTACATATATTGTACAAGAAGACTGAAATTTCGAATAAACTTGATCTTTTTTTTTAATTATTATATTATATCAATTATTGAAATTTTGATTTTGAAAATTTATTTTTGCATGTTTTGAGGGTTAAAATAATAAAATAAATTCAATTTAGCATTTGACATGGCTTTTGTCCCCTTGTAAAGTAACATCCTTAACAACTTTGCAATCTTCTTCTCTCTAAGCTGTAAAGCCAAACATTTTTGCCAAAGGGATCGAAAACTTTGATGCAAAGTTTACATTGGCAAAAAGGTAATTTAATGTGTTCGTTCTCAAAAGTACATTTTCCGCACACCCAATCAAATCAAACCATTCGATCAGTATCAGAACTCGATACTCGATTTGAGATCGTTCGACAAAACTTCATTTGAGTTTCATTTGTTAACGTATGGAGCAACCGAATTTGACCACATAAAATATATGTAAATCAAAGCAAGCTGATTTGGAGCTCGATTCATATTTGAATCGATTATTGCTCGTTTAAATTAAACATGATCCCGTTACTTATCAAATACAACTTTTAAAGTTCGATAAAAAAATCAAACAATCTTGAAGGGACACATAAAAAATATATACTATGTTTAAGGTTTGGCAAGATCATGGTACGAATTAAAAAATAAGAAAATACCCATGCATTATTACAAAAGGTGGCACATATAATATCAATCAATCTACAAATCTTAAAAACGATTCCTCAATGATATGGTTCATAGATAATAAAGTAGGGAACTAATCAAATCAAGAATATTATTAATAAATAAAATAATAGATAATTAATGAAACTGCAATCCACTAAGATAAAAGAGAACATTTCTTATTTTATTTATTTATGTATTAGGAAAACTTCACTTTCATGCGAAAATCGAAAACCACACGACGGATGTAAAATACACACTGAACTAGTCATTTACGATAAACTCGGCCTAAATAATATAATATAGGGTAAATTAAAACCACCCCCTGATGTATGGTCAAATTACGAAAACCTTCGTTATGTTTGGGTAATTACAATTACCCCTCAATTATAAATATTCTTACGCGTCTACACTCGCGGTTTCAAATTCAGTGGAATCTTCTAGATTATATGGAGTATTCTCAATTTTGGACCCATTTTATCCCATTCGAGCTTCACATTTTGAAGCTAGATATCATAAGATGTGTTTTTTGGCTTGTATATATCAGATTGTGTTGCATAAGAAACTGTAATTTTGCACAAAACGAGTACAAACTAAAGAACATTCCACGGAATCAAGATTATTATTTTGAATTTGACAACATAAGAATAGAGATATAAGAAGATTTATAATTAAAGGTAGATGTAGTTATCCAAACAGGAGGAGTTTTTTTTCGTAATTTGACCATACATAAAGAGTGGTTGTAAGTTACCCTATAATATAATAAGAGTATATATAATATGATCCACCACTATATATTACTTTTAAGTACCACTAACTAAATCAATCTTGTTTGTTTTTCAAAGAAGCAATGTCCCCACAAAAGATTTGTCTTAACTTTTAAAAACAAAATTTAAGTACCTTTTTAGATAAATGCTAATCAATTTGCACAACAAATAAAGTGTGTCTTAATTAATTGTCTAATCTCAAAAAGATAATTCATCCAAAGGAGTAAGTAGTACTCATAAAGCTTTTCTTGTTTCCTATGTCAACTAAAGTTGGATGCTTGTGTGTAAAGTATATTGGACTAGTGCTTAATAATTTACCAAATAGCACGCCATTAGTGGAGAAAATAATCACCTTTTTATTTAGTAATAAAATTTTATTTTTTGAATTTATTTGTTTCATTTTTTTCAAAGGAACTTAAAAAGTTGAAGTAGATATCAAATTGTTGCTAACTAATGTTTTGGCATCTATTATTTGACTCCAAACTTTATGTGTGTGCGTGTGAGTGTGTGTTTTGGGTGGATGGTTCTTGAATTATTACATATGATAGATATTACATCTATAAAGGTTGTGATCAATAACTTATAAATTCATGTGGTATTTGTAATTACAAATACCCCTAAAACTAATAGCCCGTTATAAACTGTTATAACATAATGAATGAATTGACTAAATTACCATTTTATTAAACAAACAAGCTACGTGTAAACCCCACCAACATGTGAGTAAATTGTTATTATGTGTTTGCTTGAAGTATTGATTTCCATGGCATGATTAAGTAGATATTGGTACATGCATAAAAGTGATTATTTGAGAGAAGCTTTTTATTGGGTCATGAAACCATTGATCACAAATTTGAATTTGAATTGTGATTTTTTTTTAATTGAAATGTTTTTCTTTCCAATAGTGGTTTTATTTTGCAATCTTTGCTTCAAGCTAAAGGGCACACTTTTAATCATTTATATATCTATTATTAGAGGGGCATAAGAATTTAGTGGAGGGAAAAATTTCCCTCGAGTATGTAGGAACCACCTCTTTATAAATTGATACTATTGCATCTTTGGAAAAAAAAAATAGTGCATTTAATTGATTATGTTTTTTTTAATAAATAATTTTAAAATGAAATTTTACTTGGAAGAAAATAAAAGTTCAAAATTAATAACAGGGCAAATCACGGTCAACCCCCGAGATAAGATCAAATTACGAAAAAATCCCTCATATTAGGTAATTATAACTACCCGTCAACTATGTATTGTCTTACACATCCACCTTTACGAGATTTTATGTATTACTGAAAGAATAATTGCGATTACCCAAACAAAAAGGGTATTTTCGTAATTTAATATTATCTCAAGAAGGTTGTGTAATTTAGCCTAATTATTATAGTAAAACAAACTAAACCAAACACACTAACCCATAAAGAAAAAAGAATCCACCTGAGTCCAAGAAAAGTTTTTCCTCTGTTTCTTGTTTTCTTTTTTGTCATTATTTATGTATTAAATCAATTAAATAAAAAGTTATTTAAATCTATTTAGGTGTAAGAAATTCAATTAAATAGAGGGGTGGTGAAAAGTTAGGAAAAAAGTAGGCTTGAAAAAACGCGTAAAAGGCAAGTGAAAGCGTGCGTCTGCTAAAAGCTAAAAAGGAGAAAACATTTTTATGATGATGAATTTCTTTTGCCATTAATTAAAAAAAATATATTAATAATAAAATTAAAAATTAAAAGTATCCTAAAAAAAGCCACCACTTTCCCTAATTTCGTGCAATTATGAAAGACTATGTAAATGTTGGGGCCCATTTAAACTTTTCCAATAGAAGCCCAAATTTTGTTCTAATCCTTTTTCTTGACCATTTTAGAAGAACCTTCTAATTAAGTTTGAATATTTGGCCCAATTTTATTCATAGGGATGACAATTTAACCCGTCCCACTGGATACGAGTTATTTCGTTTTGAATTTATCGGGTAATCCCTGCTACGTTAGTTAATGAACGGGTGCGGATTTTAAAAATTGCACCCCTAGCAAGTACATGGCGAATATCCAACCCATTATATATATTTTTTTATATTATAAAATATAAATTTCTAAGTATAAAAAAATAAAAATTATATAGGTACTAAGGGGGTTGGTTTAATAAAATCAGCTACGTACCCGCCACATGGCCATCCCTGATTGCTCGAAATATTATACAAACTATCATTAGCCTCGTTATATTAAAAGGATGAGTATAAAATAAAAAAATATGCATAATTATATCAGCCTCAATTTTATTAAATGAAAAAAAAATATAAATAGTACATGAAAATTCAAATTAAATTACCCCTATACTAATTGTCTAACACTTTACTGACCAACTCATGATTCTCCTCATCTGGTTTATAAAGGTTCATTTTATCTTTCTTTTTTTCTCTTTCTGTTATTATTTATTTAAGGAAAAATCAATACCCTATTCTCTTGATAAAAAAAAATAATTTAAAAAATAAAATAAAATAATAATAATAATAATTAGCAAAGCCCTAATTAAAAAACAGGTGAAAGTACGGTTTAGTTAGTCTACCAATAAAGAATGAATATTTCTTTCCAGAAATTCTTGCACCTGAAAATACTTTCATGTCCCTATTTTCAATAAATTCCTCCTCCTTCATCCTCTCTCTCTCTCTCTCTCTCTCTCTCTCTCTCTCTCTCTCTTCACCTTAAATAAATAATAATAAATAAATAAATAAAGGAATTCCCCAAACACTGCATGCTGTCTGTCTCTGCCTGTGTTCTACTTTTAACACCTTTTGGCTTTTACATGCATTTTATTATCATTTTCTTCTCTGCAATTTAATTTGGTACCTCCATTTTCATGTTCTTTTTTTTATATTTAAAATAAAAATTACAAAGTAAAAAGTTTAATCGTCATCACCAAATTCCTACCTTTTTCGTCTTTATGAGGGTGCAGGGGTGGGTGCGCAGGGTGGAAGTTTAGAGAGAGAGAGAGTTTAGAGAGAGAGAGAGAGAGAGAAATGGGAGAAGGGGTATGTGTGTAAGATCCCTCTCAAGAATCAATAATCAGTGTTTGGTTTGATTTCAGAATTACTGGGTCTGCTTTTTTAATTGTAAATTAAGAAAAAAAAAATCCAATCTTTAGATTCAGACATAACCTTCTGGAATTAGGATTCAATCGTTTGTTGTAATAAAAGAGAGCAGAAGAAAATGAGAGCAGGCCTCAGCACAATTCAGCAAACCCTCACACCAGAGGCCGCCGCCGTTCTCAACCAGTCAATATCCGAGGCCAGCCGCCGCAACCACGGCCAAACGACGCCGCTCCATGTGGCGGCGACGCTCCTCTCCTCCCCGTCAGGTTACCTGAGGCAGGTCTGCATCCGGTCCCACCCCAATTCCAGCCACCCACTCCAGTGCCGCGCCTTGGAACTATGCTTCAGCGTGGCTCTCGAACGGCTCCCCACCGCCCAGAGCACGGCGGCGCCGCCGCCGATTTCCAACGCCCTAATGGCGGCTCTGAAACGGGCTCAGGCCCACCAGCGGCGCGGCTGCCCCGAGCAGCAACAGCAGCCGCTGCTCGCCGTCAAAGTGGAGCTCGACCAGCTGATTATATCCATACTCGACGATCCAAGCGTGAGCCGCGTAATGAGAGAAGCCAGCTTCTCCAGCCCAGCCGTCAAAGCCACCATCGAGCAATCGCTGAACAACACCACCTCCACCTCTCACGCGAGCCCGAATTTCCACGGGTTCGGGCCGAAAATGCTCTCCCGTCCGGGCCAAATAACCCGCCCGTTGGGGCCGGCTCTGTTAGCTAATAACCGTAATCTGTATCTGAATCCACGGCTGCATAACAGAGGTGATGAAGTGAACAGGGTGATAGAGATTATGTCGAGACGAACCAAGAAACGGAACCCCGTTTTGGTGGGCGATACCGAACCGGAGGCAGTAGTGAAAGAATTGCTGAGAAAAATCGAGAACAGGGAATTCGGAAGTGATGGGATTTTCAAGAATGCTCAAGTTATTTCGATGGAGAGATTAGGGCTTCTATCATCGAACGAGATCATATCGAAGATCGACGAATTGGGAGCTGTGGTTGAGGGTATGATTGGGAGTGGTGGGGTGATTCTTGATTTGGGTGATTTGAAGTGGCTTGTGGAACAAAGGCAGCCGTTGGATTCAGAGATGGGGAGGGCGGCGGCAGTGGTGGAGATGGCTAAGTTATTGGCTAGATTCACCGGAGATGGCGGCGGCGGTGGTGGTGGAGAGAATAAACTATGGTGCATTGGAACAGCAACATGTGAGACTTATTTGAGGTGTCAGGTTTATCATTCTACCATGGAAAACGATTGGGATTTGCAGGCCGTGCCTATGGCTTCTAGATCGCCGCTTCCCGGAATGTTTCCGAGGTATATTTCTGCATCGGTTTTCATGAAAAATTATATGCGTTGGATAAATTAAACGACTGTTTGAGCTTCATATTTTTTTTTGTTTACTGAATTTTAGATTCTTGAATTTTGCAGGCTTGGAAATGAGAGATTTTCTTCTAACAATCTAGTGGAGCCATTAAATCCACTTACGGCTTTTCCGACTCCTCTGCCTGCTCTAACAAGCCGTGTGTCGGAAAATCGGGATCATGTTCAAAGAACCGTCTTCTGCAATCAATGTTCACAGAATTACGAAAACGACCTGGCAAAACTCACAGCTACCGACAAATCATTCTCCGAAGCTCAACAAGAACCATCTCTGCCGCTTTGGTTGCAAAATGCTAAAGTAGCAGATCAATCACAAGTATGCCTCGTTCGACTTCCAAATTAGTCGCAACCAAATTTAATTTTTTTTTAAATGGAGAAGGAATAATTCGTGATGCATCGTTTTTTTTCATTCTTGTACAGGTGAAGAAAGATCAGGGACTTCTCTCTAAGCACAAGGCTCAAGAATTAGAAAAAAAATGGAGGGATACATGCTTGCATCTTCATCAGAATATCCGTATCGAATATCCAAACTTGCTTAAAAATCCAATCTTTCACCATAAGTTGCAAACAGATAAGCCCTTAGGAGAATCTCCGCAGCTCAAAACCAACAAAATTACCAATACGCCCCCCGGGAGTCCCGTGAGGACCGATCTAGTTCTCGGGAGAAACGAAACTGATGATGTGGCTAAAGACTTTTTAGACGTCGATACATACAAGAAACTCCTCAAGGGGCTCATGGAGAAAGCGTGGTGGCAATCTGAAGCAGCCTCTGCAGTTGCTTCGGCCATCACACGGTTCAGATTAGGTAACGGGAAACAACGAAGAGAATCGAGGGCTGATATATGGCTTTTATTCGCGGGACCCGATAGAGTAGGGAAGAAGAAGATGGCTTCGGTGCTTGCGGAGCAAATATGTGGGGCCCACCCGATAACTATATGTCTTGGTGACCGAAGAGACGAAGAAGAATTTGATATGGGCTTTAGGGGTAAAACGGGAATAGACCGAATCACGGAGGCGGTTAGAAGGAATCCATTTTCGGTGATTGTGCTCGAAGATGTGGATGAAGCGGATGTGGTGGTGCTTGGTAACATAAAACGGGCAATCGAGAGAGGGAGGCTCGAAGATTCTCACGGTAGGGAAGTGAATCTTGGAAATGCCATCTTTATCCTCGCCGGGGATTGGTCGGGGAATGTCCCGGAAGCTTCTAGAGAAAGTGCGAGTGGGAATTGGCAATTGGGAGTGGTAGTGAGGGAGAAGAGCGCGAAACGCCGTAAAGAAATGGATTACGGCCTCTCGTTGGACCTCAATCTCTCGGTAGATGACGGGTCCCACGGGTCCCACGAGTCGAGTGATGTCACCATCGATCGTGATGACATCATCGGTGGCCCTATAACTTGTCTACCTCGCGATTTGGTCAACAGTGTGGACGAGTCGATAGTTTTCAAGCCAGTGGACCCCGCCTTTGTTAGGCGAGAGATCAAGAAGGCGGTCACGTTGAAATTCTCGATGATGGTGGATGCTGACGTGGCGATCGAGGTGGACGATGATGTCATCGAGAAGATTCTTGGTGGGTTGTGGCACGATCGGGTTGGTTTAGGGGAATGGGTAGAAAGGTCGTTCGGTCCGAGCTTTGATCAGCTGAAGCAACGATTGCCGGTTCGATCGAGTGATCAGAATAGTTCGGTTGTTCGGATTGTGGTTGAGTCCGATTCGGATAAGAGTAAAGGGAATGGTGATTGGTTACCTAATAGTATCTTAGTGTGAGTTCTGATGATGCCTGAGGGTATAAAATGGATGTTTTTTGTTTTTGTTGGGCTTAGGTGTAAATATGAAAACTATTTGGGTATAGATGGAAATTTATTTTTTTGGATGGGTGTGGGTGTAAAAAGTGAACCGTTGGGAGTGAGATGTTGACAGTTTAACGAATCTTCAACAGCTCCCACTTCATATTTGTTTTTGTTTTCTTTATAAGTTTATAGTATAATTAATAATTAATTAATAAATAATCAAATGAAATAAAAAGTTATGGCGATTTTTCCATTTTTGACCCTGTTCTCTCAAATCAAGTACGTCATGTGTATTTGTCATTTGTTGTCCTTTTTTCTGAGTGAGGTGAGGGTAGTATAGTCAATTCGTCTTGTTGAGTGTTTCTTGATTCGGTGTGTGACACGACAGTGGGATGATGGTGGAGGTGCAGAGATGGTCGTACTAAATGCCGGTCAAAAATGAACTTTTGCTTTTAATTTTTTTATTTTTATTTTGTATATTATATATATATAAATAAATATTATTATATTAGGATGAATAAAGACAAGCATAAAATCTAAGATATTAGTTGAGGTTAAAGTGTTGTTTTAACCTAATTTAGTTCTCCGAAAGGACACATCAAAACAAAGCCATTGTCTTGTAAGGAATATTCAATTCATTAAAAAAAGAGAAAAAAAAGGTGCGAAATGACCTTTTTACCCTTCAAAAAGTAGAGGCTGCCATGTGATTGATTCTTTTTTTCTTTTCTTACACATTTTAAATTTTATGCAAAGTAAGATAAGAATGTATCTCAACACTTGTCATTTTGTCATTGCTCTTTTACTAGGAATATATTTTTTTTTTTAATTTTTTAAAAATAAGTTATTGAATTGTTTTGGAGTTGATGTGGCCTATTTTGATTGGTTCCAACCGGTTCCCTCCTTTTACACTCTCAACACGATTTGAATGTTTGAGAAGATGATCTTCGCGGAATTCTTTATTTTAATCGCCGGTTTTATTTAATTGAGGGTAGTATAGTACTTTCACGTCCTCAGGAATATCCATAATATAAAATGAGTTGAAAAAAAACCAAATGTATCTTTCTGTACAATAGCTGATACTAATATACTTCAAATTTCTCTCTAAAAAAAAGGAGAAAAAAAGAAAGTTCCATTATTGCCCCTAATCAAAGTAAAATTAAAATCCGTCAAACCGCAACCGATTTCGAAAGCACTTGAAGCAATTTAATGACCTGAGAAGTATCGTCGACATAATATTTGGCCATACTCGGTTTCTGACCAACCGTGCATGCAAACACTTCCGCATTTTCAGGCAGCCACTTGTTGGAAACCGAACTCGCAATAGCCTCAAACATGTCTTCATCGGACCTGTCGTCTCCTATGCACAGAACAAAATCCGCCGGCTTCCCTTTGTTTTTCATCTTTTCCATTAGATTCTTCACCACCACCCCTTTGCTCACACCCTACAAAATTAACGAAAAAGAACGTTCTCGATAAAATCAACAAAAAAAATAAAGAAATTGATTGGATATCTCCAAGAATCTTGATTTTTTTTTCTCCCTTGCAGTGGCTAGGGGTGGAAATCGGACGGCGAGTCGGAATTAGCACTTCTGGAAAAATTACGATTTTTTTGGGAACCGAAAAACTAATTCCAATTACATGCCGAAAAAAATTCGGAAAAATCAAAAATCAAAATCTTGGAAATTGGAGTGAAGAGACTTGTTCCAAAATCGAAAATTTTCAGATCAGAATCAGCAGAATTCGGTAGAAATCCAAATTTTCAGTCACGTAAAATACAATATTACGTAATTATTTCAATATTATAAGTGTAAATTCCGGGGCAACAAAATCGGAATTTTCGCAATTATTTTCAGAAATTGAAATCGGATCGAAACTCGAAAACAAAATTGGAATCTCCCATTATTTCCAATTCCAATAAAAAAAATACCCGAAAAAATTCAGAAACCGGAATTTGAAATGAAAGATATTGTTCACAAATCGAAAATTTTTGGATAGGAATCGCCAGAAATCGAAAATTCCATTCCAATTTCCACCACATCCCAAGCAGTAACAGAACCTGCACAGGGGGCCATGGCCCCCTAGTACTTCTGGAAAAAAATACAGTATCTCATACAGAAATTTGTTAATTTTACCTGCGGTTTAACCTCGACGATTTGCTGACCACTTTTGACTAAAACGGGGTCGTTAGCAAGCACACTCTCCAAATGATCAAGAAGCTCCTTCGCCTGCCACAATCCAAAATCGGGGTCCGCTTCTTGATGATGCCAAACTACAGCACTCTCCTTTTCCTCTATACAAGAACCATCCGTCGCCTCTGTGTAATGCTCCATTACCGGAATCGCAATCTTTTTCCACCCTAAATCCACCGCCAAATCGCAAGATTCCCATTCCGAATCTTCAGACCACCTAGTACAAAACAAATATCATAGTACATCCCATTTTAGTTCCAAATAATCATCAAAAAAGAAAAAGATTTAATTTTTTTTACCTAGTGAAGTAACCATGTTCTGCAGAAAGCCCGAGTTTTTCGCACTGAGAAAACCATTTACTCAGCGAAACTTTTCCTCTACCGGTAACAATAAACACTATATTCTTCGGATCACTGC